GACTACATCTTCATCATTCTCGCACATTGTTCCTGTTCTTCAAGCTCCTTTTCGTCACCACTGATTGATGTTCAGCATCCAAAGAAAGACCAGGCTACTCCATTTCACATGAAGTGTCTTCGGATTCTTTTTTACGAAGGATATACCTCCAGAATTTTAAATTCCCCACTACCAATAGTTCCACATCAATTGAGAGATGGCGCTGAAAAGCTTCCCGAACTTTGCATTGCAGGGTAGTTTCTAGCGCACGTGTTTTGTGGTAACCGTCTCCAGGAGCACAAATATCTATATACTCGAACCTTGAAATTGATGCGAGCGTGGGCGTTACTTCGAACGGAACTAACCAGGAGCGCCATTTGTGTGTGGGGGGGGGGGGTTTGAAGGGGGCCGTGATAGAAAAAAAGTAAGAACTGTTTATTTTAGATTTAGATATTTTTACGTAGAATCCAGTAGCGTAGTTAACCAAATTTTTGGACACCCTATATTTTTAACGTCAATTTTTGCATTCGTTTTCCTGATTACTTTAATGTATTACAACCTATATTTTTTGTATATAGATAATTATATATTAGGTACCTATATCATATTTTTCCAAATTTTGAAATGGCATGTTTCTACCACCAGCGATTTTTATTGATTGGCATCGACTGCTATGGATACAATAAACTCCATAAATCCATGGCTTACTATTTAAAAACCGTAAAAAATAAAGTTTTTATTTTTGGTTCACGGGTAGTAAAATATAGCATCCAAAAAATTCAAACTTTCCGTTTTCGCCCTGTATCTGCTGAAATCAGTTTTTAACAAATCTCCAAAATTTAAACAAATTGTTTTTGGAGTTTTTCGTTTTTTAAGCTTCTTCTTCAATAGAGACTATATTTTTTCATCAAAAAGTATAGATAAAACCGAAGAAAATGGCACCAAATGGAACTCCCTACGATAAATCTCTGAAGGACAACGTTTTTTTTGCAGAAATGAACAATAAAAAACGAAAAACACGGTTCTCCGCGATTTTTTCGGTTACCTTGAGGTTATGGAGTTAGAGTTTTTCACGATCTACAGCTTTTCCATTGAACACTTTTGTCTTGTGCCGGAAATTGCAGTCATACGATTTTCACCCCTTTTCACCCTACCCGAAAACTTAGTCCCACTCTCCTGCTCAAGATTTATTTTTTTATATTCGTTATAGTCCATTTTAACGTATCCACTTGACAAAGCTCCATTAATAATTTTCGTTTTTTTTTGCCTAAAAAATGATTAATTCACCTGGACTTATTCCCCAATGACGCTTGTGGCACTTTTGGACACAATACAGTTACCTATATTACTAGAGTCGATCAGTTTAGTTTTATCCAACGAAATAACGTAAAAATGTCAACTAAATAGCAGCACCAACACAATTTTGTAGCGTTTCTAGGCAACACTCTAAAATCTTACTTTAGTACTAAAATCTACAGGAACTATTAATACTCATCAGCAACGACATATGTTTCATGAAGATAGGTAATTGCCTTTTTTGCACATTAAAAGAGTTGCTGAACAAAATAGTAATCCAACCAGCCTAGCAGACGCGGACAAACAGACTTACGGACAAAGCTACCACAATATCGCAATTATTTTACTTTTAAAAAACCACTTACAGAGTAGGTTGGCTCGAAAGCGATTCACAGGGGTGCATACAACCACGAAACAATAAGGAATACGATGTAAACAATATTATTTTTTTTACGTCAGATATCAATTTTCATTTTGTGGAATGAAAATATTTGTGAATGGCAAGAATTTTCTATACACCCACATACGAATTTAATAAGTAAGGTACGAACGTTTATTGATGTAATTTAATAAAAAACCTCCACGTTTTAATGCTTTACGTTTTCGTAAGCTGGCGTTATATAGTCTTAAAATTGAAAAAACTCCAATCTCTCTGAAAATCTAATGTAGGTGCAAAGCTCCTTAGGCTAATCTTCGTGCTCACAAAAAGAAGTTGCGGGAACAAATTGAATGTTTTGTTACCCATCAACGGTAATATTAAAGATTCGTATTTATACTTCTGTAAATACATTTATTTTAGTTTGGTAGCCAAATTCAACATGAGTTTATTAGCACAACAACTTTCGTGTCAAATTACCCAAATCGACATATCATGTAAGATTATGTAGGCGTAGTCACAATATGCGAAACGCAACATCTTCGGGCGGTATGCTCATTAGTTCAATTTCTCTTTAATGCCTACCTTTTCAATGAAGGAAAACTCTTTTCAAATTGGCTTTTTTTAGGTGCCCATTAGAGGTGTTCCGCTGTGCTCATCACGTTTCAGTGCCAATAAATCCCTAAAGCGCATCTAAAAAAGCGGTAGAGCACCTCGGTGTGACCCTATACGGTGTCATTGGATTTGACTTATTTTTAATACGCTTGTTCATTTTGTATATATGTCAACTGTGCAAAGTCTGAACCGAATAGGTTCAAGCTTTTTACAGGGACAGAGAAGCGTGATCCTACGGGGTCATTGGATTTGACCCATTTTCAATAGGCTTATTACTTGTGGTATATAATAGGTCAACGTTTTTCTTTGAAACTTTGTGACCTTCCCACTCCCTCACGTGTCAGATTATTGAAATGCACACTTTTCAACACGTAGTCAACCCACCTTACTTTAATCTGACACGCTCGAGTAAATCCCCTATTGCACTTTAAATACCTACTTCAAATACGTTTTTAAGTAGATAGGTACTGATTACCCTTACTATTATATATCCCTTAATGAAACACTATGATCCTTCATTTATTTAGTAAGAATGCGCATTTAATCATCAAATGCAAAAACTTCCCATTCGAGCTAAGTAAAGGAGTGAGGTCACATTTTTAAGCGCATTTATAAAGTTAATTATGCCCTCTTTAAACACACAATCGATAATATAAGACTATATTGGACACGTCCAGCGGTTATCTCAACACCCCCTACCCCGCCCGTGTAATAAATAGTCGACCTCTTAACACTGTTATGGGCATTGAATGAGCTGCTAATCAGGGGTGGATCTATGTAAAAATTTTGTGTTTTAGTTCAAGCCAGCGTGGATGGAAAGGGTCCCTAACCACAAGCCGCAAGTTACGGAGAACGTACAATGTTGCCAATAGAAGAAAACGTACGGAGACACATTGGAAAAGGATAAAGGAAGGTGTAATAAAAATTGGCAAAGAGTGCGTCGGTTTCAGCAAGAGGCTAAGAGATGGAGGAAAGGAAAACAGCTAAACATTTAAGGACAGACGAAGGAAAAATATTGTATAGGAAAGTAATGGCAGTCATCAAAGAAATGAAAGATGGGAAGTCAGTATGGGTCCATAATATCCCCATAGATTTATTGATATGCCTGAAAGAAAAAGGATACAGTAATAAAATCTACGAAAGTAGACTGTGGCCAGCGAACTTTCCCTGCTCTACCTAAAAATCAATGTACCAAAAATGTTCCTAATATAGAAGTATCAGCCTAGTAACACACACAGCAAAGACGTTATTGAAAATATTAAATAGAAGATTTAACAAATTTGTAGAGGAGAATATAGAAGAAGATGAATTTGGTTTCAGAAAAGCAATGGGTACGAGACCCAATAGGAGCAGGGACCTAGACCGGACCGAAAAAGAACCGAAAACCGTATCGAAACCGGTATGTTTTTCAGGACCGAAAACCGAACCGAAACCGTTATTTCTACAGAAATAGAAACTTACCTATTGAAAACGGCAACCCCTATTTTTTTCGGTTTTTTACGGTTCTTAACACGTCCTAAAAATTGATAAAATACTGTAAATGTAAATAATAAAAGGAGGGCGAGGTTTTATAAAATTAAAATAAAAAATAATACTCCATACATAATCTTTTTACATATAGCTTTTGTGCAATTTTTCGGTTTTTTTAATTAATAAATTAAGTTTAAATACATATTTCCCTCTTCCTTCTTTATTCCCCTTACCGTTGTAAATGAGCTACACTGACGATTAGTCAGGTTTCGGTACCTATTCATGATTTTTACTTCTTTTTCACGCCTATTAATAAACAAATCACGTTGTTACAATGAATATTTTTTATGCCATACTTTCTAAAAGACTAGAACCGAAAATAACAGTTATAAACCGAAAAAAATGCGCAGAACCGAACCGTTATTTTTTTAGAACCTAAACTGTTATAAATATTTTCGCTTAAATATAAACAGAACCGCAACCGATATTTCATTTGAGTCCGGGTCCCTGAATAGGAGTGATGATCTCGATCAGCGAAAGATGTTTGGAAAAAGGAAAGAGCTTCTGTAAAGCTTTTGTTGACATTCTAAAGGCATTTGATTGGGTAAACTGGTAGAAAGTGTTGGGAATACTAACGAGGAAAGGTGCCAACTGGAGAGAAAGACGAGTAATTTGTAATTTATATGTAAAAGATATGGTGGAAATATATTGGAAAGAGGAAGATATTTATTTATTTATTTTTGATTTATTAGAAATAGAAGATGGACAGAATGAAAACAGAGTATGGCCTAAGAAAAACAAGGAGTGCAGGGTAACAGTAATGGTAAACGGGGTAAGGATAGAGCAAGTGGAAAGATATAAGTATAGTTACAAAGATAACACAAGGTTGGAAAACACCAGGATAGCGATGACAAAAGAAGCATTTAATAGTAAGAAGAGGATTTTATGCAGCAAGATGGAAATTCAGTTAAGAAAGAGATTGTGTTCTAACGTAGGGCTATGAAACGTGGGCAGCAATGAAAAGAGATCAGGAAAAGTTGGAAGCTTTTGAAATGTGGATATGGAGAAGAATGCTGGACTGATAAGGTAAGTAATGTAGAAGTATTAAGTGGCGGAGAGGAAATATGTATGTTAAAATCAAAAAACGAAGGAAAAGAATACTTTTGAAAATTAGTGTTATAGGCGGATGTTAGTTGAATTTGAAATAAAACACTTTTCAGATTGAATATGTTTTTGAGTATAAATATAACAACAAAGTCTGTCTCAGTGTTTCATTAATGAATCGATTTTTTTAATTAAAATTACGGTTATAGCAGCGTTATAACGATAACTAAGTGTGGGTACTAACAAGCTGCACTGCTATGCATTTGTACTTAATATAAATGTATAACTACGCTATGACAATTATGACAGTTGACTAGACCTTCATTTCCTCTTCCTTTTTCCCCCTTTTCTCTTGCATTTTCGCTTTCAGTTTCTCTTACTTTTTCTCTCCCTGTTTCTCCAACCTCTACAACTTTAACTACACCAGGAGCTGCGTTGTGCGCTAACACCTCATAGTTTTCGCCAATAACTTGAGTCGCACCATCGTTTGTAATGTAGATACCATAGCAGTCAGTCACCCTGCAGATAATTTTTCCAACATTGGGCGTTCCGTTGAAATTAATCCGGCCAAGATAAGTTCTATACCCGGCCTCGTATCCACCTTTTACCAAGAGCCTGTTGTTTCGCAGGCGAAGTAAGTGGGTGTTATTCGTAGGAATCCATTCAAATCTGCTAGGATCTTTCACACAAAATATCTGAAATGTAATTTTGGTATACCTAACTTGAGCTCGCATTGAACCATCCGTACCTTAACATTCTGATCAACTTGGTATTCCTTTGAGTAGAATTCATAGAACAGCTTCTTGCGTGACTGTAAAAGTTTGCCTGGAATTGTTATGTTTTGGTGAGCCGTTTGGCCGAAATATAGCGGCTCGGTTTGGAGGTCACGGAATGCTGAGAAAGCGTCTGCTGGTAAAACACCTTCGTAGTCCCGCCAGCAGTAATCTGAAGATTAACGATTATTTTGTGAATCATGTCATTTTTGCACGTACCCACCTTCAGTGTGATGTGCGGAATCAATTTCACCAAACCCGTTAGTCAAGAATAAAACCAAAAACACCAACATACTGATGGTCGAACTTCACCTCTATGGCACCACCTTCACGCACTTATACCGTTATTGAATGCGACAAATGCATTTGTTATCGTGTATGCGATTCGTTTGCTAACGAGAAATTACCAAATTAATAATTAAGATTCCGGACTACAAAGGTCACCAGCAATCAACATAATGTGTTTAGAATGACGGCATTAATAGGAATAACCGACATTTCTCCTTGTTTAGGTCGAACATCAGACCATCAACAACAATCAATTTAAAATTTGAACCCTATACCAAAGTTGCTACATTTAAATCTGAGTCCCATAGCACCTTTGGACTATGAAAGACAGCTTTGCAATTAGTAGTCCTTTTATTGTGCACAAACCTAGTAGACATTCTCTTTTCTCAAAAGGAAGTTTAATATACCTAATTTGACGGAAACGCTAGTTACACAGATTAATTTGCATTTTCGATATTTTCGAGGAAGTGTCATGAGAAGAACTGCCGATAAATTGATGTCAAACGTCGACTCGTTGCCATTTTTCCGAGGAAATTTCTGAATCAATGAAGATTTTGCTCTACCACTTAATCTCGAATTTAATCAAAGAGAAATAACATAAAAAGGTGTTTCTTCCCATGAAATCAATGTCTATATCGTTTTTCGCACGAAATTTGTGAATAAAGGAAGATTTTGCTTGATCACTTAATTGAATCAAAGAAAAATGGCATACAATTTAGCTCTTTCTCATCAAATTAAAGTGTCTTTCCGTTTTTCGCACGAAGTTCGGCAATCAAAGAATATTTTGCTCTACCACTTAATATAATCAAAGAAAAATGGCATAAATTTAGTTCCTTCTCGTGAAATCAAAAGGTCCTGCCATTTTTCGCACGAATAAATGAAAATTTGGTTCTACCACTTTAAACTCTAATTTAATCAAAAAGAAATGGCAGAAAATTCAGTTCCATTTCATAAAATCAAAGTGTCTTGCGGTTTTTTGCACGAAATTCGTGAATAAAAAGAGATTTTGCTATATCACTTATTTAATCAAAGAAAAATGGCATAAAATTTAGTTCCTTCTCGTGACTCACAGGATCCTGCCCTTTTTCGCGCGAATAAATGAAAATTTGACTCTACCACTTAACCTCGAATTTAATCAAAGAGAAATGGCATAAAATTTCGTTCCATTTCATAAAATCAAAGTGTCTTGCTGTTTTTCGCACGAAATTTGTGAATAAATGAATATTTTGCTCTATACCACCACTTAACTACAAATTTAATCAAAAGCAAATGGCATAAAATTTTGTTCCTTTTCATAAAATCAAAGTGCCTTTCCGTTTTTCGCAACGAAGTTTGTGCATAAAAGAAGATTTTGCTCTATCACTTAATATAATTAAAGAAAAATAGCATAAAATTTAGTTCCTTCTCGTGAAATCAAAGTGTTCAGCCATTTTTCGCGCGAATAAAAGAACATTTTTCTCTACCGCATAGGCTAGAATTTAATCAAAGGGAAATGGCACAAAATTTAGTGCCTTCCCAAGAAATCAAAGTGTCTTCATCGTATTTCGCACGAAATTTGTGAATAAATGAAGATTTTGCTATACCGCTTAATATAATTAAAGAAAAATGGCATAAATTTAGTTCCTTCTCGTTAAATCAAAGTGTCCTGCCACTTTTCACTCGAATAAATGAAAATTTGGCTCTACCACTTTAAACTCTAATTTAATCAAAGAAAAATGGCATAAAATTTCGTTCCATTTCATAAAATCAAAGTGTCTTGCGGTTTTTCGCACGAAATTCGTGAATAAAAGGAGATTTTGCTGTACCACTTAATTAATCAAAGAAAAATGGCATAAAATTTAGTTTCTTCCCGTGAAACCAAAGTATCCTTCCGTTTTTGACCTGAATAAAAGAAGATTTTGCTCTAACAATTAATTTAATCAAAGAAAAATGGCATCAAATTTAGTTCCTTCTCGTGAATCAAAGTATCCTGCCCCTTTTCGCGCGAATAAATGAAAATTTGACTCTACCACTTAACCTCAAATTTAACCAAAGAGAAATGGAATAAAATTTCGTTCCATTTCATAAAATCAAAGTGTCTTGCCGTTTCTCGCACGAAATTTGTGAATAAATGAATATTTTGCTCTATACCACCACTTAATTACGAATGTAATCAAAGGCAAATGGCATAAAATTTTTTTTCCTTTTCATGAAATCAAAGTGCCTTTCCGTTTTTCGCAACGAAGTTCGTGAATAAAAGAAGATTTTGCTCTACCATTTTATTGATGTATGTTTCCATATTGTTAATTACTTTATATTATTTGGATTCTTGGATATTAGGTGAGTAATTAATATATATTTTTCTTATAGGTTATCGATTTCGCTATTTATTAGCATCTTCGTATATTTCAGCTAAGGTCCGAAGATGCTAATAAATAGCGAAATCGATAACCTATAAGAAAAATATATATTAATTACTCACCTAATATCCAAGAATCCAAATAATTTGCTCTACCACTTAATTGAATCAAAGAAACATAGTATAACATTTAGTTTCTTAGCTTGAAATCAAAGTATCCTGTTGCAGGACTCGAAAAACCGCGACATTTTCGGACTTCTTTTGTTTTTTTCAATATAAGTCCTAAACTATGCTTTTTGTTAAAAAAATATGCTCTATGGGGTCAATAGTTACTGAGATACCGTCCTCCAAATACTGACATTTTTTTCCAAAAAAGGAACTTTTGAGATTTGGTCAATATTCGACCCCAATATCGAGGAAAATACCCATTTTACGGGAAGGGGAGATGTTATAGCAAATTAGCTTTAATTTAAGAACCCAAAACAACCTAATATAGTTTACTCGCAAATCCAAAAAATGGAAAAACTGTATATTTCCCAAATTTGTTCTCCCTCGTTCTCACAATGATTTAAGGGTAGTTTGAAAAGAAAAACCATGTAGGTATATCTACAAAAAGTTAATATTTAAACTTAATGTTCCTTATGTATTATTATGTATTATTATGTCTTAAAATAGGCAACTTGTTACCATAACAAGCAAGCATTTATTTAGTAAATAAAGTTTCTCTCTGATATTTATTAATCATATTTACCTAAGACTTAAGGTATTACAAGGACATGATTTTTTTCTTAGAATTGTTCATTTTGAACGCTTCGTGCACGATTCAAAATTGTCTGATTCAGTCTGATTCTTTTTAGCGCATTTCCACAAAAATAAAAAAAAATGCGCTATTGTGGCCACTTTGTCCGTCCGTCCGTCCGTCCGTCCGCTCGTTTTGCGACGCTACTAGTTCTTTATCTTAAGATCTATTGTTCTACTTTTTTCGCTATTTGGTTCGTTATAGTGTCGAGTCTTGTACCAAGGAAGGAATTTTTTCTGTACCGCTTACAAAAAAAGTTATTGTAAAAAAAACAAAAAACCGTTTTTTACATGTTCCATAATTTTGCCGTTTATTAACGATCCTAGAGATCGTTTATAATTTTGCATTGCTATCTGTCTCCTGCCGGTTGGTCTGTCCGTCTGTTCCTTTGTCTGTCTGTCCATCTATCTGTCCGTGTGAATGATAACTTTGTTTAGAAATGTTCGATCGCTTTTACATCTCCGTTAGTTATGAACTGAATTGCATGAAATTCAATATGGGCATAGCTTTAGCCATATAATGCGCAATGCCAAAAGTTGAATCGAATCGATTCAAAATTCACAGTGCCCTTTTCGCATCTCGACCATTTATAAACCGAATTGCAAACTTTTTTACTTATAAAAGTATTTGAATGAAATTTGATACATAGGCACTTGGAATAAAGGAAAATCAAACGCCAATTTCAAAATTTGGTTTTGCGCATGCGCAGTGCCAACCTTTTTATTTATGGAAGAATTTAAACGAAATTTGATACATTAGTTCAGGCAATATATAATTTTAGGATGCAAAATTCATGGTAGTTCTGGACATAGGCTTGTTTTATGTTTTCTGTGTCTATGAATCCGAATTTTAAACTTCCCACCAAAAATTCCCCCCGCAACCCCCCCAACTTTTGAAAAAAAATCTTTTTTTTAAATACCGTTATTTTGTGTATTTCAGAGAATAACTATCTGGAAATTCGGAAAGTAGACAAAATTTGCGACAAAAATATCATATGATATTTTGACGTAGGGCGAATGAGTAGGGCGTTCGAGCCTTGGTGCCGCACGCACGTCATGACGATAACGCAGTCTGTCTCATCCTTAATAAAGCAATTAAAATGGCATAAATTCATCCATCGGTGATTATTGTCGGCGAAGATATAGATTTATTAGTTCTATTAACTGTACTTGCTCAAATCAGTCAATATTTACTTCATGAAGCCCGACAAAGGGAAAGTTTCAAAACAGATCTACTCGCCCTTTGGTCTTGAAGAAAACACAGTGGCTACAAATATATATTTTTACACGCTTTCAGCGACTGTGATTTTTGGCCACGGTCCAGCTTTTCTAGAGTCCGAAAACACGGAAGATGTGTCAGATTAGTCGTTTCTAAACTTCCTTTTTGGTCTTCAACGATGGATCAGTCTACTTTAAAAACGGAACGAAACAAATTAAATCTTTTTCGCGAATGAACCTAATTTTCTTTCATTTCATGAACCTGGGCCATCAGCTGCGGTTAAACGGTAAAGAGTAATTTAAACTTTTTATTTAAATAATTTAATTTATGTTTAGTAATAAAAGTGTATATTTTTAAAATATATGTGGATGTGTTCTTAATTCTGAACTTGTCTGAAAATATGTGGGGAAAAGGTGGAGGTTGAGGGTTGACTTCCAGATGATGAAAAATAAGAGAGATTAAAGGAGGGAGGGGAAACGAAAGGTAAAGCGGGTGGAGGGAGAGCGCACACCAACGCCGTGGGTTGTTAAGCGAAGTGCGCCTGAATCGCCAATGAGCATACTTCAACGCACGCGAGCGCCCCCTACTTGCGTAGTACGTAAACATGGTTTAGGACGTTTTTGGTTGCATACTATATTACATTTCAAATTTGTAGGTATTTCATTCGTGAAACCACAAAAAAAAACGATTTCTATTTTCTTAACATATTTTTTTCTTATTTTCAAGATTTGAAGAGGGTTGCGGAGAGAATTTTTGGTGGGAAGTTA